TAAAAAAAAAAAAGAGGCTCCTCTCTTCTCCTACTGGAGGCCCGTGGTCCTGTTCCTCTCTCATCCACTCTTCAACTTTTCTCTGTTTTTACTTTTTTGTTTGGTTTCTTTTTAATCTGCGTTGAGTTGTTCTGGCAATGTTAATGTAAGCTGACTTGTGATTCCTACGGCGACCGGGCAGTGAAGCTTTTGTCAGTCTAGTGGGGGTAAAAAAAAGGAACACTGAACTCTTCAATCTTTTTGCATGTTGTGGAAAAAGTGCGAAGCGATGATGTTGAATAAATGCTGGCAGTAGCAACATTGTGGTCTAAAGGAAAAGTATTAAACAATGTTGATAATGTTTTGGTTTCCCAGCTTCTAATAAAGGCAACCTACTTTTTATACAGATTACCTGCTTGTCTCATGACCTTCAGCTCTGTGTGAATGGCTACTAGTGTGTGAGATGTTTGGTTATTTAGAAACTTATATACAAGGCTTATTTGTAACAAAATGCAGAGATAAAGATAACATGATAAATCACTTAAATGTGAACCCTGTTCACTTGTAATTGCTTAGTAGAATGTTTTAGACAGGATATGCTCACATCCCTTAAAAATATGAACTTCATGGACCTAAATTTAAGTCCTTAAAATGTCTGTATTTTAAAAGGTTAGTTGGTTGTTTTTCCCCAAGTCTTTTTGTCTTGACTAATTTATTTAACCCTATATATCCTAGGTATTTATTTATTTTTTCTCATGGTACTTTTCTATCAGGCAAAAGTTCTATGGAAGCACATTACTGCTGGAAGCTCCCGCGAAACGGCTTTTAACAAACCTGTGCTAGTTAGCTACGTTCATTATGTCTTTCATTAGAAACTGCACATTTCTCGCCAGTTGGCTGGTCGAAGTCGGTTTGTTTCTGTGGAGATGTCGGTCTTAAATTTCTTTCACAGTGGTCGTAAAAAATGTCTTAAATTTGAGTCGGTGAAACCCGCAGAAACCCTGTTGAGGTTGCAGGAGTGTAGCAGTTGTGGGAACGTGAAAAGTTGTTTTCTAGTTTTTACAAGTGAAAGTGATCTGCTTTTGTAGCATCTATAAAAAGTGTGCTCTTTGATGTTTTACCATTTTCATTGATTTCACAAACCAATCAAGATCAACAAAATTTGACTTTTTTAAAATTTTATTTACAAAACAAAGTTCAACAAACCCTGAAATGTCAAAGTGAAAGCCGATTTCCTCAACATGATGGCAATTATTTAACCTACAGTAAGTGCATTAGTCTGTGTGAATAGGGGTCAACCAGGCTGTACATTATTTTGATATTTGAACATCTTATATGAAGCTTTCGATCTGATCATTGATGGCTCATTAATAAATTTCTGCTGAGTCCTCGCTCCATTTACAGAACTTAAAGCTCCACGGCACATGCTGTACTGTGTGTCAAATAAGTTTTTAAAATATTCTTCTGCATGAGGAGTAAAAGCGAGTGATACCCCACCGTGCACTGTTGCTAAGAAACCACACTCCTTGTGTGCTGCATTATGCTGCAGTCTTCTCCTCCATATGCTCTGCTTGGCTCGTAGGGATCAGCTTTCACCAGAATCTCAGTCAATTAAGATGAATTTACTAATTCATTTATAAAACCTTTTCCCACTACCAGCAGTTTGCGGTTGGTGCCACTGGAAGGAGTTTAGTTATTCTAACACGACATTCATGGGTTGGCGCTCTCTGGCAGTGTGAGCGAGGATGCTGAAATATCCCCAGTAAAGGATAGCTGTGCTCTTTGAATGTCAACATTTTGAAAATCAACTGATCTTGGCAGGACCAAATGTTTTCTGTTAACAAATGTGACTTCAGTTTTTACTGTTGTAAGAATATTATGTGAGCAAGCCTCTGGAGAAGCTCTTTGAAATGATCTGACCCATCAACATGGCAGCCTGGACCTTTGTCTATTGAGAGACTATTGGAAGACTGCGCTGAGATTTAAAATTTCAGCCAATCATTAAGGCTTGACAGACGCAACGCACCTGTTTAGCAGTTTAAAGCTTGCCAGAAGTTGCCTGCGCTGTGAACAACCGTCCTCCACAGAGAGATGTGCCAAGCTGAACAACATGGCTGCAGATGTTAATTCAATATTCACAAGGGTGATTAGCTTAGTTCACTTCCCCCATTACCATTGCTAAATTACAGGCAGACTTTACAATTTTAAAACGGCGGCGAAAATCAGCGTCGTCGTTTGCAGCTTCTTCTGTTTGCTGATTGGCCTGGCAGAAATCCTACTAGAGGAATCTGACTCCATTGGAGAAATCCTAGACGGAGCTCTGAAGGGAGATGAGAATCGAGCAGAATTGCTTAGACAGGTAATGACCAATCCATGAATGGTCTCTCATGAGGAAACTGCTGCTGAGAACACGGCTGCTAAAAAGTCAGATTGCAAATCTGTTATGTTCAACATATCGGAGAGAATGGCAGAAAAAATTACCATCACATTAATTTGATGTCTTTAAAGTACATGAAGAGATTTGATGGCAGTTTCAGCATTCCACAGAGACATGAAAAAGCAAATCTGAAAAACAAAAGTTTATTACACAAAACACAACAAGCGTGTCACTGGTAAGGATTTTTGGTACCAGTTTGTTTTCTCATGGTTTGTAAGGTATCTTGAGATAATATTGTGAATTGGTGCTATATAAATAAGCTGAGTAGAAAAATATTAAATTGCTCATAATGTGTAAAAATGCCAACTTTTGTGTAATAATAAAAATAATATGTGACCAGGCTTTAAAGTTCTTAGTAATTTGATTCTGATTAACTTTTTTCTGTTACTTCTTCGGAGCTCACTGAGTGTTAGGAGATAATTTCATGAAAGCATGAAATTGTGTTTGTTTGGTTTTTTTTTTGTTTGCTTGTTTTTGTCCAAAGACTTGACCTTTGGTGTGCTCACCATGATTAGATGAACACACCTAAATATGGTAAACATCCAGTGTTAAGAAACAGAGTTAAAGTAAATTTCAATCCTCAAACCGCTTGTTTTCTGTTTAATGTTTTTTCTCATTTCTAAGTTCTGTTTTCCTAGTACAGATGATTTGTTATAGATTTGCTTTTGAAACTGTGGCTGCTTTTGGCTCTACTCAACCACCAGAGGGCGCCTTTGCACAGTTCTGTTAAAAACATGTTCTTAGTGTTATCTGGTAAGGACGTTTCAAAAAGGCTGTTGTTTATTTCTATAGATAATTTGGGACCAATGCTGTAAAGAATGGAGGGAAAAAAGTTACTTTCTGAAACTATACTTGGTACACGTGTTCACACCAAGGAGCTAAGAGTTGGAGTAGTGTAGTCCTCAGTACAGACGTGATCCAAAACATACAGTCAAATCAACAGAAAAGTTCAGTAGACACAAAATCAACCTTCCTCCATAACCACCCAAATTTGCAGTGAGGAATATGATGTGTTTATTATTATCTTCACAAAGCTTTTTAAATCCGCCTCAAACTGCACCTCTCTTCAAAAGATTGATCGACATGTTCAGTCAAAGAACATTGAGCATCAAGACGTCTGAAGAATTGAGTGTAAATTAGCTCTTCTTTTCCCAACAAGCTCACATTATTTTCTTGGTGGCTGGAGGAGCAAAACTGATTGTTCTTCAGCAAAAAAAAAAAAAGATTTCCTACAGTTTTCTTTTCTTTTTTTATGTTGAAGGGTGCAATATTTTCATTGCACTTTTCTCTCCTTAACAGCCCTGAAGCTGACTTTAAAATAAACTTTGTTAGCCTGGATAACTGGCTGTGGTGTAAACCTCTGAGTTGTAAAGATTCAGACCATATTTACAAACGGATGATCTGCTTTTACAGAGCAATACCTTGTTCTCATGAAGGTTTACTTTTTTTCATTTGTCTACATAGGGTAAAATATCAATTGCATGCGTATAAGTACTTTGCATGTACTTTTGCAGAAGGGCTCCGTAACAGAAAGTACAGCCGTAAGGACTCAATCAATGCAGTCATAATAGCTATAACAACAAAAACAGTACATTCATTTGGATTAAAGTGTCCTCTTTTAAAGGGATATGTCTGAAATCCCTTGTTGTGTTCCCAATGGCTACGTTACATGTAGCCCATGAAATATGGGCTATGTGTAACAATCAATAATAGTGTCCGTAATTAGATAAGTGTATTGATCCATTTAAACAGATCTTCAGTCCAGGCCTGTTTAGTCTGTGTTAATCAGTCCAGTTCGTTTCCCTACAAAGTCTGGTTCATTTGGGGAGGTGTGAAAATGTAATCAAACTCTGATCCGCCTACACTCCTGGGTCTTGGTTCGGTTGAAGTGAACTCTGTTGTGGTTCGAGTGAACGCCAAGCGAACTGGAGACCGCTGCAAAAGCAGGAAGCAGACTGTAGCGAGGGGCATTCTGGGTAAATAAAATCAAAGCAAATGCTCATCTAATGCTAGTGGCATAAACGGCTCGATGTCTTTTGCCAAAGACGAAAGAAAAAGCCTGCGACCACGAGAATCTGACAGCGTTCCATTTTTTATGCTTACAATAAATATTGTGTTGGAAGGAAGTTGCGCTCAGTGTCTCCTTCAGTGGTTGTTCGTGCAGCACCAATGCAGGCGAGGGGGTAAACAAGTTTTTCAAAGGGTTTGGTTCGTTTGATACAGTCCAGTGTGAAAGAGAACCGCACCAGCTGAAAATGTAACACATGTTGCAGGTTTGGTCCCCAAACAGTCTACTGTTCTATGAGGAGTCAAAACACCAAGGAGTCTCTGCTTGGTGAAGACTAATCTATCAATCGTGTTTAATCAGTATGAAGTCAAGAGTCAAAATGTTATCCCATTTTTTGTCATGCTGGAGGCACAGAGAAGAAAACAGAGGCCTCAAGGTGACTAACATTTATTTACAACGAGAGAGAGAGCTGCTCCAGTAGCCTATTTGTTGGTTGCTCTGGTCTTGGAGAACAGCCTGGAACATGGTTTCCGTTGACAGAAGTATTGCTGTTTTCATGTAGCTCAGTAACGCCACCATAACAACAGCTCCAGTTCTTCACTTCGCTCATTATCTTGAGGTTTTCAGCCTGCTTTTGGACAACACATGGCAGGCAGACTTTCTCGAACAGTAGCCAATCAGAGCCTTCCTCTTAAGGCGAGCCTCCGTAGCGCTTGACCAATCACAGACGCGGAACGAGACCCATGCCTCCGAGTTGTGCAGCGATGTGGTCACGTGACGTGTGGAAGAGGAATGCCAACATGGACCCGTGGCAAGGACGGGATGTGAGCGCGCGGCCACAATAACACGACGGAGGAGAGCAGAAAACAGCGAGAGGACGAAGAACGGTCGACGCTCTGCCGAGCCTCGTCCCGGTAACACACGGTAGGTCGAGCTGGGGCGGCCGGGGGACTCCTGCTCGGCTCTCCTGGAGACTAACAGCAGTATAAGTAGAGCTGTGTGTTTTTCCCCCCTTTTTGACCCAGCCGAACTTGAAACTCGTGGATTCCTCCGCTGTGTAAGCACGCGGCTGGCTTCTCCTCGTCAGACAGCTGCATTCGGGTCGGTTTTCTCCGCGGCTCTCGGCTCTGTGTTGTTTTGACCGGGGCTGCGGTCGCTTTACCATATGCTGGTGGGCGCGTCGTTGCGGGCCGTGTTCCCCCTCCCCAGCTCCACGCAGGCCCTGCTGCAACATGTGGCCCGGCTGTCTGACAGCAACAACCACCATTCCGACTCATAAGCAGCTTCCCACTGTAATCATAGCTGGTTATGCTGATCTGTGCGGAGTGGGTTAAGGGTGGAGGAGCAGCAGGGGGTCCTCTAATCCGAAACAGCCTCCATTAGATGAGCGTATTGATCTGTTCAAAGCGAAGCTAAATGTTACAGGTTCACCAATGAGCTATGTAACTAGAAGGTCCTGTAGGTGGCTCTCGTTCAAAACGTCCTGTCTGGTTTGCCAACGAGGCAGCAGAAACTTCCAAACTCTCTTGCTGTTACTGTAGCCCACTTAGCTGTGGTTAGTTTGGTTCATCACAAACTCATTCAGTCATGGTTGAAAGTAAGTGCACCCTCTGAGTTTGGAGGGAATATGCACTTACAAGGTGCAAGTTAACAGAAGATGTTTGGTGGCGACCCGCCCCAACGGAGAGTTTATGTGAAAACCATCTGAATATTGACTGATTCCAGCAAAACTTGTTTTTGTGACAGGCCCAGTTAAGCCAATTATTTATAGACTATGATTAATCCCTGGACTAACTGTGAAGCTGAAAATTGAAATGGATTTCTTCTTTAACTTTGTAGCAGTCAGCAGAGGGTTTTCAAACGTTGCTGGTATTCGGAACTGTTAATAATTTGATTAAAACCTGTTTCTTCGCAATCAGGCCGGGTTGTGACTCCATCCACAATCGGGATTTTCCTGCTAAACAAAACCAAAGGTGTTTTATTGTTTTGTTTGTTTAACTTGGAGATTTTAATTAGGCTTGTTTTAGGACAGGACTCTCCTTTTTAGTCTGCACTTACTGGAGAAAACCGTAGAGTCGTTGCAGTAGAACACGATCTCTGTTCCAGAGGTTCTTGCAGCTCCTATAAAGTGTTGCTGTCATGTTTTTTTTTTTTTTTGGAACAATCCAGACCCGTTTCAGCGTCCTCATCGCTGCGAAAATATGTCCCATTTCAATAATGTTGTTGTCTTGAATTTGAGTGAATGTTTGCTTTTGCAGCCACCAGAACACTGAAATCCTTCTGTGACTCGTTTCCCTGCAGGTTTCTGTGACTTCCTCCCCCGGGTGGTTTTTTTATTTTCAATGGTGTCCCTCAGCAGCAGAACACTGACTGTGGAGTCTGAGTTGTTCAGGGACAGCAGCAGCAGCCTGATCTCCTTCTCAGTGGAGGATGCGGTGTGCTTGCGCTCCTGCGACAGCCCTGGGGCCTTCCAGCAGGTGGCCCTGCACGGCTCCAGCCCTGAAGGAGAGGAGGAGGAGGACGAGAGCGAAGGCAGCAGCCGGCTGGTTCATCGAGGCGCGACGGACGACGGGGGAGTGGATTATCAGGAGCCTCGGATGCCGGAGTTTTCTTTCACCCCATCTTCGCCGTTCTCTCCCACCCTGGAGGACATAGAGGAGTTTCTGAAGGAGAAGATGGAGCAGGTGAGGGCGGACATGATGAGCAACAGAGAGGAAGATTCTCCATCATCTGCTGTACCCTCGGCTTCATCAACAGAGACTAAAACTGAGCCATTAGTTGGTGCTTCCCTCTGCACTTCCTCTTCGGAGACTCCCGAGGAAGAGAAAGAGAAACACGCCCCTATCCAAATTGACCTGTCGCCTCCTAGTCACCCAAGCCCCCCTCCAGCCACGGTGACCCCGCCTGTGCTCCTCAGAGCTCCAGTGGTTCTCCAGCTGCAGCCGTTACCTCTGGCCCAGCCTCAGGCCCCCGCTGGTTCTCCTCCATCGGCCCCAAGTGGCATCTGGCTCACTCACCTGGTCATGGGGCTCCAGGGTGCTACGGCTCCAAATCTCACCCTGGTGACCCCCCAAATGTCCTCCACGCCCACCACCGCCACCACCAGCGGCCTGTTGCCACTCAGCAGCGACAACAAATCAGCAGACCAGAAGTATGTGAAGATCGCTCCTCTGCCCATCACTACAAGGACTCTGGAGATCACAGCGGTGGGGAGCGGCCCAGGCGCCGCCCTCCTGAAGGCAGCGGCCCCCCGGGCAAACAGGGCGTCACCCACCGAGAGGGTCCACAAGTGCTCCCACCCAGGCTGTGGGAAGATGTACACAAAGAGCAGTCATCTTAAGGCCCACTTCCGCCGGCACACAGGGGAGAAGCCGTACACCTGCAGCTGGCCAGACTGCGGCTGGAAGTACGTCAACCTCAGATAAGATTCCTTCAGTTTTAGCACAAAGTCCTCCTGATTGTTGGAGGTCGACAATTTGAACCTGTTTAGATGTTACCATTGTTCTCTGCACAATAGCTCTAACTCAGTCTTCTTGAATGAAAGCAGAACTTAAAACTCAGAACAGGAGATTTATGTCCTTTTCAAATGAATTTGGGTCTGAACATTAACTGGACCATTTTAACACATTAATATCTTTTAACACCAGAGCAGCGTGTCAAACAAACTTTATATTTATTTTCATTTCATATTATTTAACCAGTTATTTTGATTGAGAACAAATTCTCATCTTCAACAGCGACTTGTTCAGAAAACATTAAAACATCGTCCAGAATAACATGCAGTCATAAAAGAGAAAAAGATAAAAATTCAACATGTTGACGTGAACAAAAGTTTTAAATGAAAAGGAGTACCTGGAAGAAGAAGCAATCTTGCATAGTTCAATCTATCCCTCAAAAGTCAATTTGCATAAGCAAACTAGCATCAATCAAGCATCCATATATATCCCTCTATAAAGGAAGTACATACATAAATATATAAAATAACAAAAAAGAAGATATATTATCTTTGTACTAACTTGTATTGACACAGCAATCTATGGTCATTAGACCATGACAGTATTTTATGTTATTTTCTTAATTTAGTTTTAATTTCTTAGTATATAAATAAACTTTGGACACTGTAAAAGTGACCAGTATGGAGTGTCAAGGGAGAAAAGTTCACATTGTATATTATTATTCTTTGGCAAGACATTTATTATTATTATTATTATTATCATTATTAAACCTTTATTTTACTAGGATATAGGGAAAAAAAACCTCAATTGAGATTACACAAAATGTCACGGTTAAAAGAAAACGACAAGCTTTGAAAAAGAAAAAAAAAACAGGTACATGTCATTGAATCAATCTTTTAGTTTGAATGTCAAAGCTCTAAACAAGATTAATTTAGTCTGTTGTTGTTTATTGTGTTAAGGTCCAGGAAGAGGGAGCAGAGTGAACATAAGCCTTCTTCTACCCAATGCAGAAATGTTTAATATATGCAGAGGAAATATTTCAGCAATGTTAGTGAAGGAATCACTTTAACAACTGTCTGCAAATAAATGTCGATTAGACAGATTAGTGTAGCCACCTGCTGCCTATTTGAGTCATTCTCACAGTCGCTTAAGCCATCAGTTAGCTGCTAATTTGTCATTAAATTAGGCTAAATATGTCTAATTGACCCCAAATTTCCATATTTTATGTTGAGCTTTGCTATTTCTCATTGGTAAACTTTATCAATAAAGTTATACTGCTATTGTTACATTGTCAGTACTAAAGTTTTCATGGTTAGTTCAGCATTCACTTTACAGCACAAGAATGGTTTATATGGTTTAAACCAGAAAAATTGAGGTGAGGATGAAAGTGTAGCTGTGGCTTGAATGTTTCCTACCAAATTGGAAAGAGTTGACAGGATGTGATGTTTCTCTTGATTCGCTGTATGGTTTAGCCTGACAGTCTGGTCCATTTGGCAAGAGACAATCAGAATCATGGATCTGGATCAGGATCTGAAATAAGCTCTAGAAACAGAAACCTGGCCAGTTCCCACTTGTCAAACTGTGTGATCCAGTGAAGGTTTTATTCCACAATGATACATCTGCAGCAGCGATGGACTGCAGCAGCGATGGACTGCAGCAGCGATGGACTGCAGCAGCTGTCTATCAAGACGCTAACGTATGGCTGGTCATGTGACCCTAAAACCACGCGAGAACAGACACACTGAATGGCGTTTGTTCTTGTTTATTTTTGTGCTCAAAAGAAATCAAGGAAAAGAGGATTTTATTTTAACATGAATCTTTAAGTAAAAATAACTAAAAATGAATATAACAAAAAAGGAAAAGATTATCCTGGTTACAATTACATTTTACAATAATTTTATAAAGAATCCTTCCCTCAGTATTTACTGTTTGGTTATATTACTTGAATATTAACATGTTAAAGGTCTGGTTAGATAAGACCACAATTACAGCATCTGTAATTTTCCACTGTGAAACATGGTGGTGGCAGGTTCATGCCGTAGGAAAGCTTTTTTTCTTCTCACAATCTGAGTTTTGGCATTACTGTAAAAGAAAAATGAGTAAAAATTTCAAGTCTGTAAAGTTGCTAAAGTGACGGTGAAAAAAAAAACTTACAGCTTGAATTGGAGCAGACGATGATTTTACACAGTATTAACTCAGTTGTTGAATACAAGTGCATGCCACACTTTGCTGAAATTCTGTAAACTTTACTGCTTTAAGTTGTGTAATATCTTCCTCACCCTGACCTCTGGCTCTCACATGCCCAGGTTCTCCCGATCAGACGAGCTATCTCGCCACCGCCGCTCTCACTCGGGCATCAAACCATACGAGTGCACTCTGTGCGAGAAGAAGTTTGCCCGCAGCGACCATTTAAGCAAACACACAAAGGTCCACCGCAGCTCCCGGCCCAGCAGGGTGATCCGATCCACTGTGTGACCACTCTGGGTCTGTGTGAACCAGGTCTGGGGCTCAGGCTTCTCTCAGGACTTTTTGGTGCTTTCACAAGCAGAACTTTCCGAAGAATCCGGAGAGCTGGCTGTTGTTTCCCCCCGGCCCCTTTTGGTTTCCTTCCTTTCTCTTTCTCTCCACCATTCTCCTGTAAATTGTTGCATCTGAGGAGTTCACCTTATACAGAGCAATCAGCCACCTCAGGAAAAACTGAGCCGAGAGAAGACTTCCTTTCATTTTCACGCACATCGCAGGAGACAGTCTTCCAGAGGCCCCTCTTCCAGCCACTGCTTGCACTACTGCTCCTGGAGCCTGGAACTCCCAGCAGCTTTAGGAAGAGGGACACTAATCAATAATGGGAACATCTATACTTGTATAATTTCTCCTCTTTACATCTGCCAGTTGTCCCTCTTCCTTGAAGCCAAATTTCAGGGTTCACATGCACAAGAAGCATCTAACGTTTTCCTCTTCTGTGTCCCGGTTGGTGTCATGCGATCCAGTCACAAGGGTTGGATGGTTATGCTCCTTGTGGCAGCGCTCAGTCCCGGGTGCAAGTATGAACAGCAAAGCAGAAGACGCAGTTCAGAGCTGCCATCGCATTTCAGAGACAATCAAATTGTACCAAACTCTGGGCTTTGCTCAAAATTCTGTAAATCTGTGCTGAAATTCCCAAGTTAGTATTTTATGCAATCAATGCTGGCCTTTCGAAGCATTCACCCAATCATGAGCCACTTTATCTGGACTTGAATGCCCAATCTCGATCGCGGCCTTTTGTCATGATCACCAACTTGTCTTTACCCCATTGTTGTGTTGTTGTCTGATGACTGCTCATATTTAACTGTGATTCCCAACAGGGAGGTTTGCCAAACCAGAAATCCCTGTTCCGGTCCCGCAGGAGAGTGAAAGTGACACTCTCGGTGCTTGACCGTGTATAAGCTCCTTGTTACCGGCAGATCAATGTGCAGCCGACTTCTGTGGCCTCGAGAACCGGTGACATGAAACACTGCTCTTACTTTATTACAGTAGCACTTACTGTAACAATCATTATGTTGAATTTTAGCAGCAACAAAAGCTAGTAGTTTAAATAGATGAAAAAGCAGCTGAGATCTGTCCAATCATGTGGATTGGCATTAGGCATGGGCCAGTTAAAGGTGTTAGGGTATACCATGTATCTCTGACTTAGGTCAGCCACAGGATCTCCTTTCAGTGGGTCGTTATCATCAGATGTTTAAACTACCACAACTGACTGACTCTTTTCAGTGCAAAGGAGCATCAGCTAAACTATTTTCTATTATTTTAAAGTTCTTTTAGGGTTTTTTTTTCACACTTAATAGGACTCTGTTCGATTGGGGACCAAAACAGTATCATTTGTTCGGTTTTGAGCTGCTGTGGTTCGCTTTCACACTGCACTGTGTCAATCGAACCAGACTCTTTGAGTTCGACCTCCCTCGGCCGGGTGGCGCAGTATTCAGGATCACTGAAGGAAACTAGAAAACCTCCAAAAAAGACACTGAGCGTAATTTTCTCCTTCACAAAATGAAAACAAAAATGGAGTGGTGTCAGATTTTAGCAGCTATGTCTAGCAAAAAGACAAAACCGCTAGCGGTAGACTCACAGATTTGTTCTATTTGTATTTACCCAGAATGCCCTGTGCTGTATTCCGCTTCTTGCTTTCAGAGTGGTCTCTGGTCCGCTTGGCATTCACATATGAATTTGAACCATGTCAGAGTCACTAATCAAACAGAGACCTCTGTTTGTAGGCGAACGAGAGTTTGCATCACAATCTGATTAAATATTCACTCATACCCAAACAAACCAGACTTTCAAGGCATTCGGACTGATCAGGGCCGGTGGGCATGCACCCTTCATGAAAAGCCAGGTAAAGTGTTGGGGTGACTGAAGTTTTCTCTGACCATATGGCGCGTACAGGAAAGCAGTGCTGCCCTTCCCCCACGAGTTGCTGTACATATCCAGTCAGCTGGCTTATTGAAGGCATTTCTTTTTTTCATAATGATCAAACAGACAAATGTAAATGTCTTGGAAGCAAAAAGAGAAAAGGTCAGACTGGGTGTGGAAGCTGAAGCAGCATTCTTCATTACTCTTGTCAAGGTGTATTCACCACATCTGGGATGCTGCTTTGAAATAAATGGGTTTTTCTGAAGATATTTGTGTTACTACCATGAAATATGGTGTTTATTTATAGTTATACCATGAGTCTCGTACTGGCCCATGCCTCATTAGAATACTATAATGTGTACACAATACAGAGGACAAGATAACACATGTACAGTTTGTTGCCTTGATATAATACATGTTTTTTTCTTTTTGTTAATTCAAAGAGGATTTTCAATCAGTGCATTAAGCTATTTAGTCGTGTTCCTTGAGAACTGTTTGGTCCATTTTGTAAAACTTGATTGTAGCGTGATCAGTGTGTGGAATGTAGGACAGTTCATAGTTTGGGATTATGACTCCTACTCTGCCCATCCACAAAACCAATAAGCTAAAACTGCTGGTTTTTAAGTGCACTTGTGTTTGAAGAAATGAGCTGCCATCGGCTCTTCTGGGAAATGTATCGGAACCATCAAATGCGAAACCAAAACAAAGCCACATGCTTTTACAGAAGGTTAAAACATTTGTTCTTGGATCTCAACACTTTGGTGCTTTGCGACCTACCAGTGCTTCACAATAACCCTCTGCACACACGAAAGTGGGAAACTTTTACACACCTGGCTCGTTTGTGCAGAACCAGCACATGCACTTACTACTAAAAACTAGCTAGACTACTCTAGCATAAGCTCAGCAGACATCGGTGCTTTCGGGGTCAGACGTACAGCCCTTGTTCGTGTAGCAGCCACTTAACAGCAGCCATCGTCACCTCTGTCTCCCACAGCATTTAGCGTTCTTTTCAGGTTTCATAGTGCAAACAAGCTGGCGGTGGAACAGACAGACAGGCAGGCAGGCGTGCTGATCCGTCTGAACTGGAGCTGTCTGTCTTTGTGTCTGAGCCTCCCCAGGCTGCTTCTACTGACCTACATCCAGACCTGTGTCCTAATCATCATCAGATTCTCTTTTTATCCCGCTCACGCCTGTGTATCTGGTCGAGCAGACAACCTGCCTGTGCGTATGTGTTTGTAAAATTTATACATTTATAGATGTATACACACACTCGCATATATGCACACTCGGATACACGGTTTTCTTTAGTTTTCTTTTTTTTTAAATATTAAATATGCTATTTTCCTATTTGCAAAAATAAAATTGACACTTAAAAATGACCAATGGTGTATTCTATCATTTGTATATATGTGTATATTCACACACATCTGTGTGAAAAGATTCCTGCCCCTTCCAGATTTCTTCTATTTTTGCTTCTTTGTCACACTTGAAAGTTACAGATCATCAAGATATTGTAATATTGGACAAAGATAATCTTAGAATATATACAGTATATAAGAAGAGTATTCAAATAATAATTTCATTCTTTATGAGCCTATCAGTAAACAGTAGTTATGAATGATCATATTAATTTTCTGTGCTGTCTTAGAAAGGTAGTATAAAGTTGTAGTTTGGTAATGGCAGCAGAGGAAGTGAACTAAACCATTCAGTCCATGTTGGCCAAACTTCCAAATATTGAGCAGCTAAAGTCAGACCAAGAGACTTTAGCTGGCAAATATGTTGTTTGGCTTGGCACTTCTCTCTTTGTACTTGGGGGTGATTCTTTACAGTACAAGTAATTTCCAGAAAGCTTCATAGCGTAATTTTATTTCAAGTTGAGCTGGTGCATTGCATGCGTCATGGCCAAGTATTAGCTATCGTTTAAGACTCCCAACAGAGTCCGTGGCTCCAGGAGGCAGTTGTTTCTGAATAACTGAGGGTCCAGACCCTTTGGACGAAGCAAAGGGTCCGGATCCTTTGCCTCTTCAAAAACGTCTAAACTATTCAACCTGTAAAGAACAATTATTGGGGTGAGGAACAATGCTGGTTGCAACAATGTTGGTCTGCAGAACTGAAGAAACTCAATCGTTTGAGTCAGATGTGTCTACAGCAAGATGGTAGATCTTGAGGAGTGGAGTTGGAAACTACTGACCTAGAACAACTTCTAAAGCTCTACGAATCTCAGTTGTGTCAGTTGGGACCAGGGTTGAAGATTTATCAAGAAAGGGGAAAAAAAAACCTCTGTGGGAAGATTCTAAGATCAAAACCACTGCTTGACCAAAAGGGTCCATCAAACTCTTGGCAAAAATGACCCTCAGGATCTTTTTTTGAAAATTTGCAGAGATGAGGTGAAACTTTTAGGAGGTGGAACATTTACATCTGACCCAAAACCAAGAGCTTTTCAGAAACAGAATATCATGACAGTCAAACATGGGGATAGAGTATGGTTTGCTTCTTCAAGACCGGACAACTCTTAATTGATGGAGTCCTGAAATTTGCTCCGAAAACTGTACAGAAGAAAGTCTGACCATCATTACAGGACCCTATAATCACTGGACAATGATACAAAACACATCAGCAAGACTAGTCTGAATTGGTCAAAAAATAATTTTATTTGGTGTATTGGAGTAGCCTAACTAAAGTCTGGATATAAATCCAATTCAGACAGTGTGATAAAACCTTACCATGCCACTCACTCTTGAAAACTGTCCGATGTGGCTTCAGTAAAATATTTCTGCTAGGGACAGCGGCTCAACTTTCCTCAATAGCGGCTGAAGACTGCCATTTATCTCATGCCAGCTGTAGAAGTAACCCACAACTAGGTTTCTACTAACCGGAGTAAGGACAAAGTCATCAGCACCAGAAGTGGTGGGTTGCTAATCATATCATATATACTTCACCAAAAAAAAAAAAAAAAGATAAAGCAGAAACCTAATCCTGATGCCATCAAAACAGATTCTTACAACACTTTGACTGTGCTTACAAATTCTGTACGTAGCAATAATGAACAGAATCAGTGACAGAGCAACGCTGGTGGGGGTTTTCATACATGGATAAAATAAGTATTGAACACATCCTTTTTCATAGTGAACATATTTTCATAGGTACTCCTGACATTAAATTTCTCCAAGCATTTGTGACAACCCAAGTAATCCATGCATAGAAAGAAAACAATACAAGTTCAGAAATTTGTACACTACACATCACTAGACGTCACTAGTACATTACTACTAGTGATGTGTAGTGATCTAAAACAACACAGGTAAAAAAAAGTGTTGAACACATGCAGGAAGGGCAAGTGGAAAAATGCATGAAAAGCATCAGCTGAAATCTATCAGTGATCAGAAAGCCACTCTTTCCCTTGGCAGTGCAAATGAATATCAGCTGGTACTCCGAACAATTGTGGTGTTCAATTATTATTTTACACACTGTATGTTAAATATTTTAAAAGACATCTACCATTTTATTTCCACTTCACAGTCATGCTTATCCAGTACCCTACAAATATTTAAAAAATCAATTTCTAATCAAACACGACAGACTGGTGGCCTGTCCAGGGTGACCCCACCTCTCGCCTGTTGACAGGTGGAGACAGACCCCAGCAGCCCTCCTGACCCCTGATGGGATCAAAAAGAAAATGGATGGATGGATGTAATTTCTTCTCAATCTCAACAACAATCTTTAAAATGATGTTTTTACTAATCCACCAAGATTTTCTCTTTACAACATCAACTAGCCACACAGTATCGTTCTGCTGTTTATTGTTTTAGTCACCTGCTTTCTGTGATGTCAGAAACAGCCGCAAACTGGTTTTCCTGCTGAGCTGGATGGCAGCAGCATGGATCACAGCAGAGTGGGTGTCACGGCATCCACATCAAGGCCCCTCCAGCGAGCCTGCGGATTAAGACATATACTATATATATATATAAAAGGTTGCAGACAGGTCTCAATCCTGTAATTACTCGTGAACTGTGACGTGACTGCTGCTGCTACAGCTGCAGCTCTATCTACATGCTTATCGCCTCGGTATTTCCAGTTGCACTCGGCTGGCAGGCAGCGCTGAGAGGAAACCGGGAGCAGCTTCAAAGCCAAACACTGGAGCTGCGGCTTTCCTGCGCTGCCTCTTCACATCGTGCTCAACCTCTCATTTTGCTTTCAGTAAAGAAGGCCCCTTCATCTGATTTTTGTGAACATGCTTCAATTTTAGACCAAACACAAGAGCCCAAAGAGCAGGAGAGAGAGAGAGGGAGAGAGAGAGAGAAAGAGAAAGAGAGAGAAAAAGAGAGAGAGAGAGACAGTGAGGGCGTTTCCTCTCAGAAATGAAACAAGGCCAGAGGCTCTAATGTGACAGGATGAGTTGACAACAGTCACAAGCAGAGGTTACTATAGGACAGAGCACTGTGTTATAAACAGGAACAAGGCTGCTTTTTCAAAGCACAATGATAAGAAAATATTCCTACTAAGCTAAAGAGACGAGGAGAGTTTTTCTAGATTTGTGGAACTGCTTCCAGCTTTTCCATTATATTTAAACTCTGTATAAATTTTTTTTCCCTTATCGTCTTTTGTCTTTCCTACCAACAGAAGCGTACGTCAAAAACACAGATTAAAAGGGCAGCATTATGTAAAATTGATGTTTCTGAGGAGCAATCACAAGGTTTTAATTGTGTTAATCATATTAAGCAATTTGAACTGCCTTGTTGCTGAAATATGCTATAGAGATAAACTTAACTTGATTTTTAGATTTATCATTGCGGTTTTTACTTCTTGTCTCGTCTTGGCATAATCTGAAGAAAATACATATTTTCTTGGTAATATAGAGACCAACCCTTTCATGCATGAATTATGATCTTGTTTCCCCAAATGTTGTTGATATTCTCAGGGCATAAAAATAAGTGGGGAAAAAAGCTTTATATTTTTGTAGGATTTGTCCAAGTGTTCACTTAGGTGGACAACATGCGCTAATGAAATGCTGTAAATTATAATGTGAATATATTTTGACATTAGTTAACAGAATGCATAAACATAGAACATTGTTTTTGTCTCTCAGTCTAATGTTCACTACTATCTGATCCCTTAATTCACTCCCTCTCATTCAACTAGTTGGTCTCATTTTGGCTCCTTCTCAAGCAGTATGATTTCATTATGGACATTTTAAATTTTTTATAAAACTAACAGCATTGAATATGATGCTTCAGCATGTTTTCTGCAATATAACAATAATGTCTCTTCTCTGAAGACCTGGCTCTGATGATCAATACATTCTTGACCTGGGGTGTCTGAGGTATGACATGATTCCATATTTATTATTGGAAATGTCTTCAGTTCCTGATCTGTTGAGGCCAGAATTTATTTTCTTTTTTGGAATGCATACAGGTTTGCATTCTGTAAGTGCTGCATATCCAGTTATTTCATGTCCCTCAACATCTTGCATTACTTCATTCAGTGATCAAAGGTTCTTTGTCATCCTCATCTCCACTCTCACTGCTGCCATTAATGTATATAAAAACTTTACTTCCTAATAGTAACAATGGATTTCAGGTTAAGAACTAAATATGTCAGTTTATTTACTGTCAAAATATTTGCTGGAAATGTTGCATATTGTAGATCTATAGTCAGAGTATTGATATCAATACCTGTCAAAAATGTTGTCACTGATGCATGACGTCCACTTCAGTGGACAGGTGATCAGTAGTAACTTTCTCCAAATATAAAATTGTTATTTGGAAAATACATCAGTAGTATTAGTCTTTAAGGGTGTCTTGACGTCACAATATTTATTTTACCTGCAAGAGTTTTCCACAGTAGGAGGGAGGACTGGGTATTCCCGAGTTAGTCTGATAAGCTTCTGTCTGTCCGCCATATTGGATTTCACAAAAGAATGCTTGCACTTGCATCAGATGGACAGTAGTTGGCAGTGTATTGTAACTTTCCTTTTGTGTATAATACACGTAGAGCAGGACAGTATTCGTGTAACTGGCCATTTCGCAGCTTGGTTCTGAGGATTATTGTGATGCACTACCCCCTAGTGGTGATTCGTAGATCTACAGTTCACAAGAGTAAGTAGAATTCTGATTCCAAATGTGGGAATTCAATTTCTAACAAAGATAGCAAGCATTTCCCACCAACTGATACAGTAAAAAAAAAAAAAGTGCTGCAGTTGTGGCAAAAATACTTCTATTCCATTTAATGTGATTCAATTGAGCTTTCTTTCATCTGAAAGAAAGTTCTTTATTTTTTTCAAGGTGCAATGTTGATTTTTTTAGGTGCAACATGACAGAACAATATAGAGTGCCTTGCAAAACAATTTATACCCAAATCAGTTTCATGTTGCTTTCAAAATGGAAATGACAATATGTTTGATTTAGACAAAGAACACAAAATAGTGCAGAACTGTGAGGCAAAGGATGCATGACTTAAATCATTTAGCAATTTTTCAAAGTTATGTCGAGTGTTATGTCGAGTGACAATCACAAGGTTCTTAATTTTATTTAGATTTAGTATGAAGAAAGAAGAAAAATATGCATGCTTTTGAAAAATAAATATTTTTAAAATATGCCTTGGATTTGTAGCATGCATCCTACAAGAAAAAACAACAGGTGATCTGTCACTTATTTCTTTATAGTTGAATGGAAAAAATACAGCATGAGCTAAAACCAGAGATGAAAACAAACAATGGGGGAAGTGATCTCTGTTTATTTAATGACGCATTTAAAGAACTTTTGAAATCGTAGGAATTCTAACTTGCATTGTTCTTGCACTCGTTCAGAGCGAAAACAACGCCAGACCAGTGAAACTGATGAGATCGCCAAATAACCTTCTACTACATAATATTACTGAAAATAGTTAAACTCAAGACGCTATTCTTGTCTTATCTTCTTTGACTTCACCACATTTGTCAAACACCTTTTGTACGGAAGGACTTCACACCCACGAAGTCTGAAGAAAGTTGTCGGATTGGGTTTATACGCAGAACATTGAACGCAGCATCAGTTCCTGGTCAAAGGATACACCGTCAGTGAGATCCAGATGCTTTTAAATCTGAATTCCTGAGTGGGAATGCGCTCGACCCTTTGCTAGGACCCTGTTTCCCGACCCATGGTGCTGTAAGAGCTTCCCAGAGATGACAGAGGAACACCTGGACGCGGCTCGAGGACTCAGAAATTCAGCGGGCTCTTCGAGCGAGGTAACCTTAGCACGGGAGCTAACTTGGAGCTAGCCCTGGCTAACTTAAAAGCTAGCCAGAAAACGTCGGCGCTTTCATTTGTTTGACACCTCAGCCGTGTGTATGCGCGCGCTGACGGCGACAGCAGCTGCTCGAGCTTTAATCGGGACATTAACTGACGCCAAAGGAAACCTTGAAGCAGTGTTAGCTTTATCGAAACTATCCCAGGGTTCCCCATCAACAAGTGGTCTCTGTTCTGCACAGTGGGGAAGCTGGTGGTTGCCTGACAGCAAGAACAAATCGCTCCACTTTAGAACCTATTGATATAACTGTGCACCAAATCTGCCATTCCGTTTAGCTCTTCATCCCTATATCTACAGATAAGGGTTTCAATCAGTGTCATATGTTATATAACCCTCTGTGGTAATCTTCTCCGACTGCAGTTTTTCTCACTGTCCTATTTTCCTCTGATATCGGCGCTTTTAACATGACAGTGTGAGACAGATTGGATCGTGTGTGTGTGTGTGTGTGTGTGTGTGTGGGTTGGGTGTTCTCCATCCAAGCATGTTGCATGAGTCAGGCCAGATTTATTCGAAGAAGCTTAAACATCTCGATGCTGACGGATCCTGTCAGAGTAGATGGCAGCGAAAATACCAGAGACACCATTCAAAAATGAATTATTGTAGTAATATTTTATGGGATGTTTGACAGCAGGTTTCCTTACGGGAGGGCGCAGTGACTATCATCGTCTGTCCTGTCAAAGGACAGAATCGTTTTGTTTACTTACATTCTGGTAGAGAACTGAGCTTTTTTCTTTTTTTAATGGCTCTGATCAGTCATCAGCAGATCCAATACTTATAATGGCAGCTCACCGTTTTGAAGCCCTTTAAATCTTAGTAAATCCGTTTTGTGTAAATAGATGGGGTTTTGTCATACAGTCATTTTCTTTTCCCCTGTCTTTTGGTGTAATGGTGCTGAGACAATGACCAAAATTAGAACCTACAGGTCACAGAAATCTTGTAATGGGTATCTGCCTGAGAGTATGGGGTCCATGTCAAATTTCTTTTGTTTATCTCTTTGCTTTTTGAGATTCTCAGTGTGGTTTAATTTGAGTCAGTCAGAAATCAGAAACAAACAGAATTTTCTTTTATTCGGTTCTGACCAGTGTCTGGTGAAATACTTAAAATCTGATTTACCCCTGCCCATCAAACGCACTCGAATGAAGAAGGGAAACACAACATTCTCATAATTTTGCAGCAGGGATTTTGTTCATAATGAAAAGAGTTGCTACAGTGGTTTGAAAAGTAGCAAAATGTCGCTCCAAAATTGTTAAGTTGGCAACATTGGGTGTAAAACATGGGCGCGTCTGCCAGCAGAGGACAGTGGCTAATTTTCAGACATTGGTGAAGGAAGATAAGATTGGTTTGACATTTAAGAATCAAGGTTATGTTAGTTAACTAGAAATAAAAACTGAAATTGAGAAAACATTTTTTTTTTTGCTAATTGTAAAAAAATAAAAACAGTAAGTAATGAGAGAACAACTTTAACTAACTAGAACTATATTGTGCATTTATAAAACTAACTTTGTTTTTGTCTTCATTAATTTATTTAACAACACTTTGAACTGATGTGAAATAGATTTTTTTTTCTCTACACAAGCAAATTACGACACTCCGTCTTCCTCCTGGTGGCGCTTCTGCTAGTCCGCAAGAAGGCCACAGCAAACGTTTCGAATCATTTTTTGACAACGGTATCTACTGATGGGTATTCATTATCCAATACATGTATACATAATCACAATACAATTCCCTGGTTAATTTTGAGGTGCAGAATTCAAAATGGTCAAAGTATGAAAAGCTAAACTACTGCTATAAAAACCAAACAATATTCAACGAACAAAAACTAAACTTTCAACTAATAATAACTAATGAAAACTAGCAAATACATCAAATACTGACTAAAACTAAGAGAATTATACAAACAAAAAGTCACAATGAAATAAACCTAAACGATAAAGAAAACCCCCAAAACTATTAAAACCCTGATAAGAATTGGCCAATCACACAAATTTAAGAAAATCGGTGCTGATCATTCGGCACACTCCTAATTTTTAAAATCTCAGTTTGGTAAAAATAACAAAAATGAACAGTTTACTACCTGGCATTTTTGGGGTTATCTGACTTAATCCTGTACTCCACAAACCCCAACTGGTGTGGATTGAGCAGGTTCCTCTATCACTGCATCACTTTACCTCAGTGTATATTGTGGGAATATATTCGGTGTATTCAGGGAATATTGTGGGGGCAACAGATGGTGCTACTGAACTGACTCGCAGTGACTCCACTTAACGTTCTAAATAAACGCTTTAGTGTCTGATTGTGTGTCTGGTGTGTGTTTTATTATTTTTCTTTTTCCTCAGTAAGCGACATGGACAACTCTGTCACCCTGTGGCAGTTCCTACTCCAGCTCCTGTTGGACTCCAACAACGATCAGCTCATCTGTTGGACCAATGAGGAAGGAGAGTTCAAGCTGCTGCAGGCCGAGGAGGTGGCCCGGCTTTGGGGAGCCCGCAAGAACAAGCCCAACATGAACTACGACAAGCTCAGCAGGGCGCTGAGGTACTACTATGACAAGGTATGCTCTGGCGACCTCTGACCTCTACACAGGAGGTGGTCAATCAGGGAAGTTTCATGCCAAAGAGAAAAACAATCCCACAATTCTTTTCATGACCATTTAGGAGTTTACGCTTAAAATGTGTGGAAATACTCAGATCCTATTGGTTCACAGCAACAAGAAAGGAATGGCAGCTTGTATACAGTTGAGACCAGAGGTTTACATACACTGAATGAAATGACACATCATCCACCTTTCTCCTTCTTACTGCCTGTACTTCAGACATACCAAACGTCAGAATTACCTAAATTATTTCTGTTTTGTTTTAAATGTCTGTTTTAGAATATCAATCCATCCATTGTCTTAACTCCTTTGTCCCTGGTGGGGTCAAAGGTGCACCCAATCTTGCTGGAGATGGGGTGCTGGTGCCCATCTCCAGTGAACGTTTTGGGCGAGAGGCGGGTTCACCCTGGACAGGTCGCCAGTCTGTCGCAGGGCAACACAGAGACAAACGGGACAAACAACCATGCACACACACCTAGGAAAAATTTAGAGAGACCAATTTACCTGACAGTCATGTTTTTGGACTGATGGAGGAAGCCAGAGTACCCGGAGAGAACCCACACATGCACAGGGAGAACATGCAAACTCTATGCAGAAAGTCCTGGGTGACTGCAAGACCTTGTTACTGCAAGGCAGCAGTTCTACCAACTGTGCCACTGTGCAGCCCAGCTTTACAATATGTCAGATTTATTCATTAATGTCTTCAAAATCAGACTCTTATATTAGTATCAATGAGGGTTAACTGAAATATTTAACTTCAGACAGGAAGTAAAAAAATGTATGCGTCTTTTTATTTGCTCTATGTAAACTTGTGGTTTCTGCTGTATGGAATTCGTTTGTATTACATACCAACTCCCCGTAGTGCATAAATGTGAACTGGAAGGAAGTCTTTTTTTTTTTTTCTTATAAATAAAAAGCTGAAAAAGTTGGTTGGACATTCAGTCAGTACAGTGTTTGGGTCTTCACTGTCTTTACATATCAAGAAGGAAACTGACATTATTCTATTTTGTTCTGGAGATTCTGCTAAAACAAAACTAGTTCATTTAGTTAAAACAGATCTATTTGGTTTGATACTGTATCAAATTCTATCAGTTAAGACTTAAACAAAAATAGTTTTGTGCATAAAATTCTCTAACTTAAATGACCACTATTATTACTACAGTTGCAGTAATTGTCAATGTTAGGTTACATTGTACTGGAGCTGATGTCAATAATTTGTTTTTGGAAAATTAAAGTGAACGGCACAAACAAATTAAACATACACAGTAAACCCCATTAAAAAATAGAAATATGTACAATAAAGTTAATGTTCAAGTTTAATATGCACAAGATTTGTTTACGATGCAAAAAAAGACAGTGACAGGTTAGCTTGTCTGCCTGGCTTTTTCTTAAATAAAAAAAATCAAAGAATTATTCAAAATATTTGTGGTATTTTAAAGTGGCCTAGTGGACATGTGATTCAATATGCACTATGCTAACAAACAACAGCAGCGATGATGCACAACTTACACATTTTAAAATAGTTTTTCTGAGTATTTTGAATCAATTGAGAATTCCCAACACTAGGAATTGTGATTCTCTATAGATTTCTTTTTCTTGCACCACTAGTGCAGAGGAATTCTAAAGTAGTAGTTCTGCAGACTGGTGCCCACCCTGCCTGTGGTTTGACCCTGTGGGCGTTGAGCCATGCTACTCTGGGACGTCTGTGGCTTTGGGCTTGGTGCAGACAGGAAGTACCCAGCTGCCCCACGCAGAGGGCAGTGCTGCCGACTCACTCTGCTCCGTCTGCTCTGTCTCGTAGAACATCATAAAGAAGGTGAACGGCCAGAAGTTCGTCTACCGCTTTGTGTCCTATCCTGACATCCTGAAGGGAGACGCCACTGCTCGGATGGACGGGGGTGAAGACGGAGCAGGCGGAGTCCTCCCTGCTGCTGCTAAGAGGTTAGATGGCGCTCTGCTGGAGGCGGAGTCTGCCGACCGCTCCAAGGCGGCGTCGGGTCCGGCCGCTCTGGGCTCCAGCACCAAGCAGTCCAACAGAAATGACTACATCCACTCCGGCCTCTACACTTCATTTCATCTCAACTCCCTGCCCAACGGCCGGCAGCTCTTCAAGTCCATCAAGGTGGAGAACCCTGCAGAGAAGCTGGCTGAGCGGAGGGCCGCCTCCCAACACAGCCAGGAGACCTCGCCTCTGCTGCAGGCCCCTCCAGCAGCCGCTCCGCCGTCAGTCATCAAGTTCGGAAACAGCCCGCCAAAGCTGCTCGCCGCGCCGCCTCCTCCGGTCACCATGGAGACCACCCTGAGCAGCTTGGATTCCCTGCAGGCTCCATCTCAGAGGGCCGAACTCGTCAGCACACACTCCTCCCTGCAGCCCCAGTCCGTCTACTCACTGGAGCACAGCCGGCAGTCAGAACCCAGCCTGGGCCTACCGGACCTGGGCGCGGCACCGGAGGCCGCTCAGGAGGGAAACATGAGCAGCAGTGACGGCGAGTCGGGGGGCTCTGGGTCCACAGAACCTGCTGCTCTGGAGACACTAGAGACCCAGCCACACGACAAGGCCAGTACACTGCTGCAGACATCTCTACATCTTTCTACACAGGACAGAGCATTTATCATATATTTATCATTTATCCTTCTTATAAGACTTTTGATTTATAGCTTAAATTATTGATGAAAAAAATTTGTAAAAGTGTAAAAAAAAACATTGTCGAACCTCTGAAAACTGTTTGTATTGTTGGGATTGTTAGCAGGGAGGTACGGATCTACTTTTTTCATTTCCGGTACCAATACAAGGTTTAATATCTGCTGATTCTGATATAATACAGAAAGACAACTGAATTTAAGTAAAATGTTTCTTTTTTGCTTACTGGACCAGTAAAGCACACCTGAACATAAAATAGCTTCACAAGCTTGATCAAACATGTAAAGTTAAATGTATTCAGTCAGTATAACAGCCAATGGAAAATGAATAATAAAGAAACTCAAACTGACAATGGGTTGACTAACTTAGTCAAATGTAAAAATGAACTATTAAACCTTCTTTCAAATGGTTCAGAAAGTGTCTTTAGGAATTCTAAATATAATAAATAATAAAGCATGATGTCACTCAGAGCACAAAGTATAGAATTAAAGTGAATAGATTTGACCTTTTGCATCAGGCACATTGTCACTGATAACCAATCTAGATCATTTTTCAATATCGGGACCAAAGCAGATATTAATATCAGATCGGTGCATTTCTAATTGTTAGCTTTACTTTCTCCACTGTTTGTTCAGTGAAAGTATCAATAAACTTGGAAGTATGTGTGCAGTTTAGTGTTATAAATCACACGTCTTTACCATGCTTGGTGTCGTCTTCATGCGTGGTGTCCTGAAGAGACGTGTTACAATAATGTTTTTCAAGAGCAGTACTTGTGTTTCTGCCATGCAGTCACAGCCATATAGTTACCTAAAATAAGTGGTAAATAGTTCTTACTCTGTCTTTATCATTATGACAGTTCCACAGAATGTTGTGAAATCTAATCTGTTAATTTAATCCAACTTCTAGATTAAAATAACAGATTAATTGAGTTTAGATATGAGTTTGTTTAACCCAGCAGATCTTCTTGTGTGGTTGTCATTGCTGATGGACTGAACTGTGACCAGTGTTCTTAAAGGAACCTGTTGTGTGTCCAGCAGGTGGATGGCGGCATCAGCTTGTGTATAAACGAGCCCAGCCTGGTGGACACTGAGACCAGTTCGTCTTCGGGGAACAGCAACACCGCAGGAAGCGCTCAGGCTCTGGGAAAAACTCGTAAACCGCCAAAGGTCCTGCAGCTCAGTCCGCCCGCTCTGCTCGTCACCACGTCTGAGTTCTCCCCCATGAACCTGTGCAGCCCCTCGCTGCCCACTGCCTCACTCACACCAGCAATGCTCCAGGTGAGACGCCTCTACAACTGCCGCATTGCCATGTTTATCACTTTACAGCCGATGTTGGTGTGCGGTCTCTCCGAATGCACATATTTCAGTTTTGCTGATCCCAATGCTGGCAGATACCGATTTTTGATTAATTAATTTTTTGTCAGAAAGGTTTTCGCCATTTTGCAGAGGAAGATCAAATCTACTGCTTAATGTTTTTTTTAAGCACTAACGACAAAGCCACTGCACTCCATAGATCTTTAACCCTCTCAGGCTCAAATTACTTGCAAAGACTAGCTAAGTAGCACTGAGCTGTTGCAAATCTGCAACATCTGCCTGGAGAGGGTTAAGTTAAAGGTTTGTGAAGGCTTTTGGAAGGTGTTGAGTCAGACTGAATAAAATGAAGTTGGACATTCTCTGTAACTTAGTAGCGTATATCTGCCTAGTTCTATTTTTTTCTTTTTCTAATAACTTGTTGTTTTCTGCGATAATTGGATTTATAAATTGAAACCAAACAGACGTAAAGCAAACATAACGTTTTTCAAACTACCAGACTGGTTTTTGCTGGTGTAAAGTTGCAGAGTGATAGAGGTTGAGCTGGCACCATGTCAGTGTTTGTTCTCTGTGACCTGCTTCTGTTGCATCTGTTCTTCCTGTCGCAGCTCCTGCTGCACGAAGTAGAACAGAGACAAAAGGTGACAGCAAAACCTCTCAGCAAACCTCTGAGCTCAGGCTGGAAAAAACAAACAAATCTGTTTGAAGTTAAAAATATAATAAAGTGCAAAATGCTGAAAATACGCGAATACTTAAGACCGCCTTTAAAAACGCTCATAACTCCCACTTTTAACAGATAAAACATCAAATATACCTCAATATGCTTTAAGTGGAAACCATCCACTGTCTACTTTATCGATGTTGCTGGGGGTTCAACCAATCAGCAGTAAACAAAGAGAATGCCAATGGTCCAGGGAGCGTTCCAGGTAGTGTGATGGTATGCTCTGAATCCAACCTCTCTGAGTCAGTTTTCTGGTGCAGGGTTAAAGTTCATTCCTTCAGTTAGATTCAAAGCTCCTGCTGGACTTGAACCTGCAGCACACTGTGTTCTTTTCTGGTCAGCGTTCACAGCTTTGAGTCAAAACCAAGCTGACAAGTAACAGTTATTTGTTACACATCTCTCTTGTAAACGACATCTTGGATCTCAGTGAGGCAGCATGTATAAATAGATCAAAACTGTAGTTAAAATAATAAAATCAGAGATTAGAAAGTTGGCAGGTCAGACCTTAGAGTGGGAAAAAAAGATATCAGTTTCTGGCCTGAAGGGTGCATTTCTTTCTTTTTTCTTTTTTTTTTTTATCCAATAAAACCAAAATTCAACTTTCCCATAACAGTTCTACGATTTATTTGGCACAAACTCAGAACTGGGCATTAAGAAAGACCTCTCTACTGTCAGTCACTGTTTCAACCATTTAATTGCACAGATCAAAATTAGCTGAATGGAAATATGCCAGTTTCTTACACTTACAGAACCAGATATTTTTGTTTTATTTACTCTTTTCTCACATTGTTTTTCACTGATGTTGGACTGGATATGAACCTATATTCATTATATTCCGAAAAACTCAGATAACGTTTTTCGGGTCCCATTTTACATCAGAAAGTCCAAAGTTTTAACAGTTTCTTGCTCTCATTCGCTTTCCTGTTTCACATTCAGACAGCTTTCAACTGCTGGACATCTTAACGAAGACAAGTCAACATCTTTTTCCGGCGATTAATTTCAAAACGCAACCAATTAATAGCTTTATAATTATTATTATTATTATTAAAACAAACAAACAAAAAAAACGTGTTTTTATTTTAACTCATAATCTAAACCCACTTTAAAGTGCCTTCCAACTCAGTTCCAAGCTAAATGTGACTGTAAGAAAGTGACGCTGCAACTCCCAGGTGAGCAGCAGGGGGCAGTAGAGCTGCAGTAAAATCTCCTTGTTGTTTAACTGTTGGTGGCGCTGCGCTGTGCTGCGCTGTGCTGCACTGCGCTGCGCGTCTCAGTGGATTAGATCTGCTTGTTCAGGTCAGACATGGTCATGGCTTCCAGCTCTAGTGCCCTGTCAGCTCACATATGGAGAGGACCAACATTCAGCTGTCTCTGTGGTTTGCCTGTGATGGTCTTTCAAGCTGAAACTGTATTTTTCGAAGCATCAAAACAAACAAAAACAAAACAAAACAAACAAAACATAATAGAGGGAAAAAAACAAATCAGGAAACTCTGGGTTAATTTCAGTTGATCTGATCGTCATATTATTCAGCAATAAGTATCACAATTCTGTAGTTTTCTGAAATCTTGCATGATTTTGTTTCATCTAACAAAAATTCTTGGTTTTCAAGTATTACATTGTAGAAAGTTGGAATAACAAAGTGTTTTCTATCTTATGTTGCCGCTTCTTTTCACAAGATGCTGTGAAGAAACGGATATTTCTCACTAACTTTTTTTTTTTTGTCACATTTCCTCCACAAACACGTTTGAAGGTGCAAAGCCTCTTTGTTTTCATTTTCTACCAAATTTTCCACTCCTCATCCTCCACTCGCCACACAGGAACCTTCACAGTTGGACCTCAGCTGTGAGTTTGTAGAAGGGGGCGGCAAAATGTGCTTCTAGTTGGAAAAACTAGGAAAACAGTTTAGAAAAAAAGGTTTCAGACGCCTGGAATGGATGATGTACGTTTTAGTCTGTGAGGCAGACAAATTGTCTGATTTTACAATTAGGCTTAAAACTTTATTCTTTGGTAAAGCTTTTAGTTAGCCTGGGTTAGGTTACCCTGAGTTACGTCTGTAACTGTGCTGCTTTAGGTCGTACAGCCCTGTGACGGTTAGATGTTGGATAGTAACAAGAACATATATTATATATTCTAGTTACTATATATAACTATATATCTTTTCTGTTCTAGTGTGGAACAGAGAGCAGCCTGCGCCGACCCGTTGACCTTATGGTCACCCTGGACTTTCTTCGTTAGGTTTCTTCCTCAGAGTCGGTCCCAACCCCGCTGGTCCTCAGGAGACAGACTAGTAGCTTATTCTGTGCCAGCTGTTGCTCCATTGATATCATGGCGTTTTACAGCAATCATTTACAACAAGCTATTAGCGCTGACATTTTTATGAGGATGATAAACAGCCTGGAGCAGGGCAGCCAATAGCCAGACTAATTAAGCCACTGATATTAATCTGACAGCCTGGCTTCAAAAAGCAAAGAACAGAGAACAGCTCACATACCTAGTATCATTGCTATGTAATGTTACTATGATTAGTACTTACATTAACATTAGTGGGTGTGTGGTGGCTAAATGTTTGTGTTCTTCCTATTATTGACAGTAGAATTTTAATTAAATTTTTTTTTCTAAATCCAGTGATATGTGATCAATCAACACAAAGTAGTGTTTACTTGTTCAGTGGAATCGAGATGTATTCAGAAATATAAATGTTTTAACATGTTATTTTGTATTTTATTGATAAATCTCAATAGTGTGGTGTGCACCTCCTTTCGGTTTGCTGGAAGGCGAACCTCCATCTTAAGTCTATTCTCACCTTTAACATGCAGATGTACCCTGAAGGGTAAAAAAGGGAAAAGTGGCAGATTTTCCAGCCTCTGCAGAGCGAGATGAGGTCAAATTTTGCATGTAAGCGTTGGCTGATCTCCCAAAATGGATGAAATCGGTTCAGCGCTGTACAGTTTGTGGTCGAAGTGAATCTGTTTTCAGGTTGGTAGGTTATGCTGCAGAACCTGCTTTAACCACTGATATTTCTGTGCCTCCCAGACTCCAACCCTCCTGCTGACTCCCAGTCCTCTGCTGTCCAACATCCACTTCTGGAGCACGCTCAGTCCCGTCGCTCCCCTCAGCCCAGCCACCAGACGTCAGGGAGCCCACCTGTTCCAGGTGGGTGTGTGGAACCAGCTCTACTTCCTGTTTCTCTCCCCTCTAAAGCTGAACACCATCATTTCCTTCTCTGTTGCAGTTCCCATCGGTCCTGAACTCCCAGTTCCAGATCCCAGTCCAGAGCCTGGATGGGACCAACACACCCGGACCCATTTCCCCAGACCCCCAGAAAACGTAGACGCGGCCCATGCTTGTGTGTGGTGGACGGATGAGGGTGAAGCGTTCACTTGGTCTTGTGGTATTTGTGCCCTCAGGACCCTTTTTTGTTTGCTATCATGATGCATTCATTTTGTCTGGCTTATTTTGGGATCACAGCAGATGAAAAGGAGAGAGGAATATCCATGATAACCGAACCGAACACAGTCTGCTTCACACCTAATGGGATTCCAGCTATGGCTTTGCTGCCAGACCGGGTCTTCTGACCCGAGTTGACTCTGGTCGTTTGTTGCTCCAACCTGATCATACACCTGCCTCAGCTGCTCACTACCTGACCCACACCACCTCCACCCTTCTGTCTTACTCTGACTTGTGGCCATAGTCCAAACTGAACCTTAAGTTATGCTTCTGCAGTGCTTTGTAGATGTTTAACACTTCTTTCACACTTTGTCTCTCATCCAATCCCAACATTCAGTGTGTTTCATTTGGATTGGATCTCAGAGAGTGGAATGAGTGTGAATACTTATGCAAGCCACTGTGTGTGTTTTGTTTTAATGAAACGTATGTGCACACCCTGACAGCCATGTTGACCTGTTCTGCCTTCTTTAGGGAAGAAAGAGAAGCCATACAGCATTTTTGGCCACAGTGGGCTCCCATCCAGCCGTAGTTCTCCCTCTGTCATGAATCTCTCTGTCATGGCTTGTTGGGGAGGGAAACCAGAGAACGGAAACGAAGGGAAGTGGCTCATTTGTGAGATTTTTTTTTATCACTAGCTTGTCTTTAAAACATTGTTTAGAAACAAGAAATCAGAAAAACACATCAGGGCATCTGTTTGCAAAGATAAGATGAATGCAGGGATTCCTGTGGATGAAATGTGAAAAAATTAATACCATAAAAAACTTTTTGATGCTTGCTATTTGTGGAAATCCTGAGCAGTTGTTTGTTGCTTTCTTATAGATCCAGTTAGAAGCATTTCGTCTAAATTCAAATTAAAAACATATTTAGTTGAATCTCCAGCAGCAGTCAGTGTCACAACAAATCTAGACTAAAGATAGTTATTGCATGGCAGTCTTCTGACTGTAATGACATATTAACAGCTAAATATCCAGGAACAGAGACAATATTCCACAGTAACACATCCTGGATGACATCATCAGTAGTTACCAAACACTGCTAATCCACCTCATTTGCTTTGGCCGCTCCCCTTTAACTCTCTGCCTGTCCGTATGGTTACCAAGCTGAGCAGAGAGACGTTGGAGGATGGTTTGAACTTCCTGTTCCTCTCTCTGCTCTGCATCATGAAGCCTCCACTTCAACGCAGCTTGGAATTAGTGTAGCTTTTACGATGCTAATCAGTTGTTCCTTGTCAGAAAAATAGTACGTTGTTGCCAGGCTATGCATTCTAGCTGTCCACAAGTTTAAAAAAAAGCAGGAGTAACTGAGCAATAATGCAACACCTCAACCAGAAGGATTAACAAAAGTGTAGAAGAAGAAATTAGAGCTAGCGTTGCTCCTGCTGACACCACCAGTGGCACTGTTCTAGAATTAGTTTGATTCCAGTTCAGCACTGGACATCCCTACATACATGTAGGCTTTAGTACTTGGTTATTGCTTCAGTGTCTGTTTAGTGACATGCATATTTGTACAAATCCAGGTTTTCAATCTGTCCTGTAAACTTCTACGTTCTTGTCAGCAGATGCTGCCATCTTCCCTCTGTTTCCACTTTAAAAAGCCTCTAACAAAACGGATGGAATTTAAGCCGAGACCGTTGATGGCTCTTTTTGTTGTTTTTTTTTTAACTACATATAGCAATACCTTTGCTTGCCCAAGAGTCAACCAAAACATTATGACCTCTTTCTGCTGCTGAGCTGGACATGCACCGAGCAGCCAGCCGGAATCGGGTCTGCTCAAGACACTAGCAACATTCTTCGGTGTGGAAGTTCTTACTGTGGGAAGCAAAGGGTTAAAAGCGACTTAAATGTAAATGTATCGTCGGCTGTTTATTCAGGCTGATAATATTTTCAACAGATAATAGGAAAGCTAAACATATTACTGAAAAGTTGTTCTCTTATATTTTTTCCTAAGGTTTTATTATTTAAACAGCCATCACTCACAGAAAACATTTCATTGGCCGTTTCTTTTCTTTTCTTTTCTTATTGGAATTGACTAAAATGAAACAGAAAGTCCAACAGCGGAGCATCATTTGTGTGGATGCCAGTTTGTAGCTTAAAGTTGTTTCTCAGCTTTAATGCCTAAAATCCAATGTGTGAAACTCGAGGCCCGTGGGCCGAATCTGGCCCACTCGTAGCTATTTATATGGTCCAGATAATCTCAAGATGGCCACATCAATCAAATCAGATTATTTTTTAACTATACATTGTCAAATTACATCAAAGATTAAAATTGATTCAATTTTAAGTGATAATATTCTAATAGTTCATTAATGGGTAATTTTATCAATAAATTATCAAAGATGCAACTATTATTTGAGGTTTTGATTAATGTATTGACTATTCTGATAATTAAACTTTTATACAATTTAGAGATTTATATCAAGAGCTTGTAAGAGCATTTCTTCACTGAATGCTGGATCATTTATAGCAAAAGATGAATCTGCAACTAAAAGTACTTTGAATATCAGCATGTAAAAAAAACTCTGGCTATTCTGCTTGACTTGACATCAACACACTGAAAAAGTGAAACATTTGATCCAAGTTAAAAAGATGGACTCAATCAAATTTAGTTAATCCAAGTACTTATAATAAGCTAAATCATGTTATACACACATGAATAAATGAAGTTTGACAAACTTAATTCGACTACATGTAACAATTTTCCATTCTCTTTTTTTCAGTGTAGTTAATAAATGGGTAGCAAAGGTGCTATTTTTAACAATCTGAACCAGGTGAAATTAAAACGGCCACTTTAGGATTTCTGGGTGAAATATATTTACAGTTCTTTTCTTTTGTCTTAAATGCAAATTGTATACATTTTTTGTACAGTTTTGGCTTAATCACTGCTCTGACTGTTCTTTCAGCAAACTCCTTTTGTTGGGTCGGTGTCCTAATCGATTACTAAATCAGCCTACAATTATTTCAATAACCAATTCATCCAATGAATCGCTACTCACGATCTCCATGCAATCAGAAATGAAAGAGAGTGACAGCGCTGCATCGTTCTCTCCTTCTGATTGGTGTTTCGGTTCTTTTTCTCTCCGTCTGATTGGCTGGTGATGTTTCGGTTCTTTAACCCACAGCGCTGGCTCAACATTTTCCCGCTGCCTCGCTATCAGCCATCTGAAGCCCACTCCACGCGTTTGACCCGACTTTAAAGCCATAAGTCTGACAGACTCCAGAGGTTCTCCCCGCCTCTCTATGCCATCTAACATTGAAAGCATGCATGGCGCTTGTTTACACCGTACTCGGATAAAAAAAAGAAATAAAAGACAGAGATGTGTTCTGTTTTGAACCACAGTGTCAAACTCTAACCCAGTGACGGGTTAGAAGGGTTGGTGCAGGACACGCGCTCACTCAGATGGAAACGGTGCCTTACCGCAGCCAAGCCCAAGGTCAGCCTCACTAAGCTCTCTCTCACTCACAGAGATCTTTCATGTTATTTGAAACATCAGACGCCGTATCTTAGATGTCGACCAAACCAGAGAATTGGAGGAAAACTCAGCAGCAGTGTAATTCTGGATGCATCACTGTACATACAGACAGCGTCATGAGCCGACGCTCTCAGCATGTAAAATACCAGCTTCCCGTCGGCGGCCATGTTCCTTCTCAACCTGCCTCTAAATGTTTGCTCAGAAAGTGTATAGATAAATATATATATATAGAAGGAGAAAAAAACCCCTGTCTTTAACTCATTGTAACCTCCATTTATTTTCCTGTAATGCAATAGAATTCTCAGAATAATTTCTATTTTTGTAAATCAGTGTCTGCTTTTTAATATTTCTCTTTGTGCATGTTTTTTTTGTATCCTTGTTTTATTTTATGTAATTTTTGGGGAATTAATGTTGGGGGTTTTTTCTTTCTTTTTTAGGAATCAAAGCCTTATTGGGATAAAATCAAAGTCTGTTTTGTATGTTGACTTGTTTTTGATATCGTGTTGATATTGTACATGCAGATGTTGTGATCAGACGTTTGCACTTAAGAGTCGGGGTTCCTGTCATATTGGATTCTGTCACTTTTCTAGGATTTCCTTTGATGACTAAAGAAATGTATTTTTCCCCATAAAGGGAGGACTTCATTATGCACTTGTATTTTATAAGAACAAAAGGAGCTAAATCTAAAGTTTTACAGTTTGTATGGGGAAAAAAAGGACTAATTTGTAATTAGGCACTTGCACAAATATTTATAAAAATGTCTACAACCCGTAGAACAGATATATAGAATAAGCATTTTTTTGCTGTAAGTTTAATAGTAAAAACTATGAAATAGCTATAAAATGATCCCAAAGCTTTTTGTTTCTCCTCCAGTCATCTTGGAGTTCAGTTTTTTCTTCATATCTGCTCTCTTAATTCTTTTCCTTGAAATGTAAAAAGTTGTTTTTAAAGAATGACTGTTTTTGCTTTGTTTTGTCCAGTTTGATGCTTATTCAAAATGTTTACAAGCTGCTTGTCTTGAGTGGCATATTGATGTGTGAGAAGCCTAGAGGAATTCTGTACAACAGACCAATAATAAAACAAATGTCTAACTGAGACCAGCTTTAGTGTGCGTGTGTGAATCTGATCAGTCTTTGGTTTCTTTAAACTCCAGATCCGGTTCATGTTGAGATCATGTTGAAATCACAAGTTTGCAGAAACATTTTTTCCTCCCTAACTGAAGTGAAATCAGAACAAACTTCTCTCATTTTAAATGAGTTAGAATGACCAAAAATTGTTTCCATTTCCAGATGCCACCATAATGAGCCTAATTGTTTGACCAGATGAACACAGCCTCTTTGAACATGTTTATTGCTATGAATTGAAATCCTTTCATTGAGATGACAACATTCAGGAGTGATCAGTTTCCTCCAGCTGGATAGATGACAAGTTCCCACAGGTGGCTGATGAAAATGATTTCAAATAATGCGACAAATTGAAATCATAAAGTACTTTGTGACAGCACAAAGTACTCATCTGTTAAATACTTTTTGGATTCTCTATTTTCTCAGTAAATGGAACTTTTATCCACTGGCTTTAATTCAAAAGCCGACTGATGAACCCAAATCTGCTTTTCATTATTTTTTAAGGTTGATTCAAAACAGCAAGTTTTAAAAAAAGGAGCAAAGTCCTTTTCTTAATGCTCATAATAAAGTTGTTTCTATTTATTTCAATATTCTGATTCAACATTTATCCCAAAGGGAAATTAAATATTTTAGTACTGTCTTCTAAAAGCGGTTCATGTAGATCTCCAGTAGCAGTCGGTCTTACCACTAAGTTGAGGAGGCCTCTGACTGAAGATAGTTGCTTGCGGTGTCTCATGAGACACAAACAGCTCAACAACCAGGGACAAAAAAAAAAATATCGATCTATATAATCTTCATAACATGAGTGTTGGCTCAGATGTAAAACAATTCCTGGTTGCCACAGTTACGCATCATAAATGTTGATGAACCAGAGGAAATAATTGTTCAAAGATTTATGCATTTCTTAAATTATTTGAAGATCTGTTCATTGATTAGCAGTAAAAAGAAAAAAAAAAACTTTTTCAGTGATTTTAAGGTTCTTTTTATTATTACATCTTGGCAAATGTGACAAAAGGTTTGGACACCACAGTCAAAAGAAACCAGCACTGCCTGTTGCTGTGCCCTGCCAGTCAGCTGGCTGAAATAAAGCCGTTGTACTTTTATGTTGTTCTCTTCAAAGACAGCATGTCTTCATCAACTGATATAGTTTTTTTTTATATCACAGAATAAAAGAAACTTTTCTGCTCAATAAACACCTAAAAAATGGAACCAACTCCTGTTTTGTCACTTTTTCTTCAAGGCTAAATATCAACAAATAAAACATGATAGAAAACAGAACAATATCATATTAGCAGCAAAAGGAAAAATAGTTTCCCTCGGTTTTAAATAAAGCAGATTGATCAAGTTTGATGTGTCTGTTGAAAGTGTTTGTTGTACCATGTTACAGGGAAATGGTGGTTCTGATTCTGTCAGACTGGCTCAAGCCCAGAAACCATCCTCAGACTAAAGCAGTCAGTCCAGCTGTCATGGCGTCTGGACATCAGGAGCCTCCGCTCTTTGGCTAGTCCTTCATGTCCAAACATGGAGGCGAATCTGAAAGAGAAACATTTGCTACTGAAGTTCAGTCAAAGATTAAACGCTTAGATTCAAACGAATGCATGCAGCGCTGCTTCCTGGGTAGCTCCTATATTTTATCAAGCTGGTTGGAGCAACATACGCACACACACACACACACCACACACACACACACACACACACACACTGAGCTCCAACCCTAAAACATCAGAGCAAAACAGATGCCAAATATGTTGATCTCTGTCACTAAAGTACCACAGAACTTTAGAGCCGCGCTAAGAAGTTTGAACAGTAAAATCATAACATTATGAGAATAAAGTCAAATGAGAACAATGCTCTTGTTTTGTACAGCAAAACAAGAGCATTGCTGTACAACACCAAGGTTAAAAAAGGTTTAAAAGAAAGTGAGAATAAAGTTGTAACAATGTGAGAATAGGGTCATAATATCAGAATAAGGTCGCAAAGCAGGAGACATTTTACGGGAATTCCTCCAGGAAATATAAAAAAATTATTAAATGAGGAACGTTGAGCATTTTGTGAAGTTATACGTTGGAATCGCCTTTACAAATAAGGACTTAATCATTTAACAAATCACCATCAAATAATTGTCAGTAGCAGGACTCTGCAAGAAACTAGAGTCAATTTCCAAGAGAGAATCACTGGCTGGACCAGCTGGTCACTTCAGATCTTTAACTGTTGCAGTTTTGCTCACATTAAAAAAAACTAAAAAAACTTTTTTATTGTAATTTTCTGACATTCTGGTAGTATTGTGTCTGTATTCTGTAACTCTGTTCTCATATTTCAAAAAACCCCAAAAAACTCTTAGTCTGGGCTCAGGACTCCATTGCTGGTGTCTGAACTTGAGGACGTGCAGCGCCTGCAATGTTGGACTGGATCTACCTGTCTGATGGTTTCTGTGAACACAGTGGGTGTAGAGGAGCAGCAGGAACAGACAGAAGCTGATGAAGGACGTGATGGTCGTACACAACAGGAAGGAGTAGCTGCCTTTACTGTGGATCACCTACAGAAAGCAACACACACACACACACACACACACACACACACACACACACACACACACACACACACACACACACACACACACACTGAGCTCCAACTCTAAAACATCAGCTGCAAGGTTTGGACAACAGGGTAGAGGTCATTTATTGCTGCTACATCACATATCTTCACTAATCTATTAAATGAAATCATGATTTCAATGGGGGGTGTTTTAAACAAAATTTTGAAATTTTGTGTAAAAACTTTGAAAGTTTCTGTTGAATGAAGCTTTGCGTTTCATTTATTGGTTTTGGATGTTGTGTCTTATTTTGGATATTTAAAATATTTTCTACCTTCAGTGTGAACTGTTTACAAAATTACAGTTTATCGGTCCTTCAGATTGCAAACTTGCTTTATTATCCCATTTTCTATACATGAATTAAAAACTGGTCTCAATACAGAAAAAAATATTGTTTATTCCCCAGAAATTTTTTTTATGGTGACTGGCTGAGATATCACCACACTAAGTGTACAAAGTTAGAGAGGAACTGGAACGGTCCAGTCAAAGTTTCGACCTGAGTTCAAGAGAGAGAGTGGAGAGACTTCAAAACATTCAGCGAGTCTCTCTGATCTCACACTGGCTGAACTTGACCTGCATTAAAAAAAATAAACAAAAAAAAAGCGGGCAAAAAAATCCAGATGCAGATGTGCAAAACTTAAAGACGCACAGCTGGAACTGCAGCAAAACCTGCCTTTACAAAGCACAGCGTCAGAGAACCACACGTTTTATGTTTTTGTTCTTCCAAATCAACAAAAACGTTAACTGATGCACGTAATCCATAAACAGATAAGCAGATGGAAAGGAAAGGCTTCAGACAAATATTTCCTGTAATGTTTCATGTGATCAGAAACGCAAACAACCAGATGGGACGATTCTCACCAATCCCACAAGCAGCTGCAGCAGCATCTCTCCTGTGCTGGCGCTCGTCACCAGGACGATCGTGGCGGAGCCTTCGATGCACAGATAACAAACAAGTCGGCATGGAGACCAGGAACTACAGGTAAGACGAGGTGATGGAGGAGCAGAGTGCTGTGTGACCTTTATAGTCCAGGACGTCCTCAGTGAAGGCCAGCATGGAGGGGAACACGCTGCTGATGCACAGACCCAACACACAGCAGGCCATGAACAGAAACACACGGCTGGAGTAGAAGATCAGGAGCAGGACCTGGACCAGGATGACGCCCACCTGACACACACACACACACACACACACACACACACACACACACACACGTAAACACACACACGCGCACACACACACACACACACACACACACACACACACACACACACACACACACACACACACACACACACACGACTATCTCTGTGGGGACTTTCCATTGACTTTCATTCATTTCTACAGGCTAAAAGTCACACATTCAGTAAATAATGACACATTAATGCAAAGTCAGCACTTTTAATGGACTTTCAAAGCAACTTTGCATTAAAATGCCATTATTTACTGAATGACACTTCATTCAGTAAATAAAGTGTTATGACATTCATGAAGACTTCTTCATGTTCATAACAGATGTTATGTCATGTTTATGACAGTGTCATGTCAGTCTTACACCCGTCAAATAAAGTATTTGTTACCAACATTTCTAGCTCAGATACTCGCCACTCCCTCCCCTTACAGTGTATATTAGAAGTAAATAAAACAAAAATCACCATACATGACCTTAAATTGGATTGTATATTTGATGGTAAACGTGTTGGAGGATTTAATCCACATTATACATTACACTTCCTGCAGCTCAAACTACATTAAGTGCACTTTGACTGGTATTTGTAGGCAACTTAGTAAGATTTTTGTGATGCTGTCGTACAGTGTGCCTGATCACGTACTGGGCCTGCTTCACGTACTGGGCCTGCTTCACATACTGGGCCTGCTTCACATACTGGGCCTACGTGAAGCAGGCCAGTACATGCAGGTCCAGTACATGCAGGTCCAGTACATGGGCCTGCTTTACGTACTGAGCAGGTATGAAAAAGACAACAGACTCAGAATGCCGGACAGGCGTCTTCAGAACAACACTGTGTGAACAGGTTAGCTCCCACATTGTATCCTGGCGTTTACATTCCCACCCACTTCAAATATTTGACTCCAAACTCTGCTTCGTACCAGACTAACGGAGAGCAGAGCCGGTGCTGCATATCGGTAGGAGAAGTAGACGAAGCACAGCCTTCCTATCGTGATGGAGGCCCAGAATACGCTGTCCAGATAGCCGGCTGCCTTGTGACCCATGAGCAGAGGGGGGGAGACAGCATAGGTGTAGACGAAGCCGGCATAGCAGCCCTGCAGGAGAAACCATGAGAGCAGCAGGTGAAGCTGCTGCTCTGGTTTCATTAATGCGGGCATTAATGAAACCAGGCTGGACGGCACTAGAGGTTT